TTATTATTATTATTATTATTATTATTATTATTATTATTATTGCTATCCCAAAGGTTCTTCTTCACTAACGTAATCAATTATTCCCTGTCAAAACTAAATGGTTTATGTTCATCGGCACAATCCAACCTTCCTAAGAACGTCAACTGCAACTTCATCTTACGCTACATAAATAACACTCTATCAACCAGGAAAAACCTTGTAAAATAGGTATCTCGCAATCACCAGATTTTGTATTTCATCCGAATCTCTCTTACATATAGTAGGTGGATGTCAAAACTATCTCGACCGCTTCACCTGGCGCCATAATTCTGTCCCCAACTTTATTGCCTTATCACTCAAAACCATTGACAATTCTACTCTCTATGCTGACCTTGATAATTATCACAGTCCTTTAGTTATAACTGGCGATATTTATCGCCCTAACTTGATTTTAAGAACATCTAGTACACTCTATATATTGGAACTTACTGCTGGCTTTGAATCAAACCTTAAGAATAATGCTGATTGTAAGAAGAAAAAATATTAAAAAACTTAAGAGTGATTTAAATAGTGATTATAGCCATGTAAAGTTTGTTAATCTTTCAATAAGTTCCCCTCGGAGTATTTTGTAATGATTGTGCAACATTTATTGAAATGTTAGAAAATGTAGGTTTCGACAAAAACCAACGTAAATATGTAATAAGGAAAATTATGAACATTGCTATTCGAACAACCTATTATATATTTAGCTGTAGAAACAAAATCTGGAATAACCCTGACTTGATGAAGTTTTAACTTTGGCGTTACAACTAAATGTGGAAAAAAAAGTATGATTAATGTTTTTAATGTCTTTCATGTACTTAAATGTAAAAGATTCAAGTAGCTAATCGTAAATTGCCTATATATAGCGAAATTTACGATGGAATTTGAAAAACATAATAAAGTTTACATTATTATTATTATTATTATTATTTTTATTATTATTATTATTATTATATTATTGTCATTTCTATTATTAAGATGTGCGTAAGAGCTTATAGCTTTATAAAGCCTGAAGAAGACCCAGGAAAATTTGCGTCATAAAAGGGATACACAAAGATTTGAAACTTGATTGGGAAAAGTTTTATTTCCATATTCCGTATTTGGCATCGTAACTTTTTCTTCGCTACTTTCTCTATTTTTGGTGATTGAACTGTAATAAATACAGCATCAATAGATTAATCAGAGGGGGAAAAGATGGATCCCGTTTTTCTTATAACTTAAGTTTCTACTTTTTGTGTACAATGCAGTAGCAACAATGTATTAAATTAAACACTACAACGCATCGATCGTTCAATATAAACATATTTCAATTATCTTCAGAAGCTTATCATATGTGAAGACTTTATCATTCATAATTTGTCTCCTGAAGTCCTGGTCGACTTCTCTGGCTGATTTGTAATCTCAAAAATATTTTTGCCATATGTTTTGTCTTGATCGCCTTTCGCAGAACGACGCAGATTGAAAATATCCTTATACCTTTCTTCTCCGCTCTTCCACATCTGCGGCAGCCGGGTATTTTGCTATTACCTACAGGCATTACGTTCCCAAGGATTAAAAGAAGAATCAACTTGAATATAAAGTATTTACATCATGAGATACCAAATAAATCTAAAATATTATATAATCTTGAGACGCAATCTATAGTTTCGTCTGTGTTTTGTTTTTTCTGTTTGAAAGGCGAATGTCACGTGACAGACAGCCCATAAAGTCGAACAAAAGGTTAGTCCTTTACGCTCGGAAATCATATAAGAACATGTATAATAGGTAAATTACGAGCCTTGTATGGAACGACTGAAGAAGAGGACCAATGGGCCTTTCAAAACTTCAAGTCGCGTAAAAAATGAGCCACCTCAACTATAAACTGTGGACAGCTGTTTGCAATTTTCAATGAACTTCATGTGCAATTTTCAATAGTAAATGGGCGCTACTTGATTTAAAAACTACACTTTTACTCCGTTGTCAAAAAGCTTTAATTTTCTGTACGATGTGAACTTGGCTTAATGTCAAGTTAGGTAGGTAAATGTCAACTGAAAATTATAACAATTACAAAATATAAAAATTTGTCTTAAATATTTCAATGTGGCCTCTAAGGCTTGCAAATCTTCTGAAGGCCATCAAGAAGGTGTCTGAGCTTTTGTCTGACACCAATTCCAATTGTACCGCTATGGTAGTTATGCAGGTAAATATGATCACTTGGGCTTCTTTCAGCGTCTTACGGTAGAGTCTTATGTTTACTGGCCCAAACATATCAAGTGCTGTGTTCGTAAAAGTCGGACATCTCTGCGGCAACTCTGAGGCTGGGAACTTGACCCATGAGTTTTTCCAATGGCTTCTTCCTCAACTTCCTGCATGTCACGCACTTTCTAGTAAGACGTTTGGCCGTGTTGCGTACACCAATTATCCAGAAGCGTTCCCTGGCTTCGTGAACCCGACTCTTGTAGCCTTCTCTGACCATAGAAATGAAGTATGAGCATTACTACTAGTGGGTGGTCTCGTGGAAGGATGATTGGATTACGCATCTCGGTCGGAAGGGTCCTTATCTTTTCGAGGCGTCCATGTGCTCTGTAGTTCCCTTCTTCGTCCTTCTGTGCGACTAGTCTATTGTCATGTGTGTTCACGTCTAGCTTGCGTTGGCTCCATTTGAAGAGTTGAGTTTCTGCTTTCTTCAGCTCTTTGACTGTGAGTGGTCCTTGATTTGAGGATTTTGTTCGATGCACTTCGATGCGCAACATAAAGGTTAGCGTATTCCTGATCTTTTGGAACGTCGAACACGATTCTACCAGTCTTGCAAGGACTGGGTTGTATTTGGCATGCTGCTTGACGCTGTCTTTGTTGGATTGGTCTCAGCGACTCTTCCGGTGTTTTTAACCGTCTTATTTTCTCTTTTAGTCGCAGCATGTCGAGGAGAGCTTTCATCGGTGCTCTCAGACTCTTCCTCAAATTTGGGCCATTCGGCTTTTTGACGCTGTAGAAGTCGGATCCGTTCAACCAGGTCTTCAATTGTTCTGGCTTAATCCCTCTCGTAAGAGCATCTGCAGGGTTACTTCTTGATCTGATGTACTTGAAGCCTTCTACGCCGACGGTCTCTTGGATCTCGGCTACTCTGGCTGAGACAAAGGGCTTGGATTCTCTGAGAGGTGTCTTGACCCAGGAAAATACTCTGGACGAATCGACCCAGAATGTCCTTTCACACTCAGTTAGCTTAGCAAAGTCAAGCGCCTTTGTACAAGTATTACACATTCTTGTAAGGGCTAGACATCCCAGAAGCTCTAGTCTTGGGATGGATTTTTTTTGAGCTGTTCTGCGAACGGCTTAATCATAACTGGGATGCATTTGTAGGACCCGTCCTCTAGTTCCCATCTGAGGAATATCGCGGCGCCATATGCAAACTCCCCTTCGTCAGAGAAGCCATGGACTTCAGGTAGACCGGTCAAGTTATTCGGCTTCAGCTGTCGTTCGAACTCGAAGCTCAGCAGATGATTCATCACCTCTAGGTTTTCTTTCCACTTCTTTTGAGCACTTTCAGGAAGGAGCTCCAAAGTTCTTGTAGGTCAATTCGGAACTTTACTGCTACTGGTGACACAAGGCCAATAGGGTCCCAGAGTTAAGCGAGTATAGAGCAAGGCAAATACGTTTTGTCAAGCTCTGATGATGGGATGTGACTTCATTCTATTTGAAGGTAAAGGTATCCGTTTCCTTGTTCCACCTGTGTCCAAGTGGATCTCTGTACTGCTCCCCTTCGGCCTGATTAATTATTTTGCTGTTTGAGTGCCACGCTTTTATCTGGAATTGGCCCTTACCAAGTATTTTGTCAATGTCCTCGGTTACTTTCTTTGCCTCAGACAGTTGTTCTTTTGATCCTCCAATGTCGTCAACATAAGCATGTTCTCTGAGCTCTGCTGCTGCCTCAGAAAATTGATCTTTAGAAGACTTGGCGAGAAATTTGATTTTGTTTGGTTGCAATGTCTGTCGGTGGTTTGTCGCCAAAGTTTAATCGGACCCACTTATGTACGGTTGGTGAGACTTCAGGACTCTTCCTCTACAGAAACCAATGAAAGATTTGGTCGTCTGGATGTACTGCAACTTGGTTGAACATCTTTCTAATGTCGCCAGAATAAGCTACATTTTAAGCTACGTTTTCGTCATGACTGGTATTGATAGCTATGTAACCCGCCTGTTTAGCCTGGTTACCAAGCCGTCGAGTGATGTCGGTCGAGTGCCGAAGATCGACCGAAACTGTAAATCCCGAGAGTTCGCACTATTTTGAAATCAGGTGCAATGTTCCTTTCAGATGATTGCATACTCTTCAGATCACGATTGAGAAATAGTACGTTATTCAATAATTTGTACTGAAAATATCTTGAATAAGTGTCTAGAGATGTTTTATAAATTCTGTTATAAATCATAGTCCAATCCAAATTTTTTTCTGGACTTATTATTCGAGATATAYATTTTTGTGAAGTTGGTTTCTTAAACTTTTTCTCTATAAACCAATTATACAATACTTTAGTATGTAGCTTAAATACATCAATATTGTTATTTGCTATATTAAGAGTCCTTTGTAACTTCTTTTTTTCACATTTTTTTTCCTTTTACGAGAGTTTTTCATTCGTCGGGAATTGCGTGAATTATCCCGGCCCACTTCAAAAAATGTTTGTCTGCTAGTCCTCTTGATTTTGCATGTTCCCAATTGAAAAAACCATTATAATCGCATAAATCGTATATTTCATTGATATTCAGCTCTGAAAAATCTCTATAGAAAACGGAATTTCCTCCTATTTGAATATATTTGTTGTTCCATAGATGTTGATTATATTCTGCATTTGGAGATGTACAATTCTCATCCGAGATCATCGACCATGCAATAAGAGCACTTTTATAAAATTGTGGAATAGTTTTAGGGATCCTTTTTTTGTCGAAGTTGTTTTGAATATGTCTAAAACCACCAATAGATTTCGTATATAACGATGGAATAAAACTAACTGTTGTCATTTCTTCCTTAAATTGAAATAGTTTTATTATCCATTTTACTCTATTGGCATTTATTAATAAACATGATTGAAAATCTGTTAGCTTCAAACCTCCCTCTCCATAATCTCCAATAAGTGTGCTATGTTTTATTTTTGGCTTTTTGCCATTCCAAATGAAATCTTGTATCGTGCTTTCGACAATTTTTATAAACTCCTCGGGAACGTGAAGTACAGAACATACATACATAAGTTTAGGTAGGGCAAGTGTTCTTACAATTTGGATTTTTCCAAATAGTGTTAAATTGCGTGACTTCCAGAGTGACAGGGTTGGCTGGAAGTTCGTTAGAATTCTTTTAAAATTATTCTCGTAACTGTATTTATCATTATATGAAAAGAAAATCCCTAGTATTTTTATACCATCCTGGCAAAAATTGTTCCATTTAAATTTTTTAAGGTGGATTTCTCTCGGTGGACAATGATTTCGACTATTTAGCCACCCGACTTCAGATTTTGCGACATTAATTTTTAGCGAAGAAAAGAGCGTGAATCTTTCCAGTTCTCTTAGTGCTTTTTGGAATGATGTAATATCTTTAAGAAAGAATGTAGTGTCGTCCGCGAACAGTAACATCTTTTTTTCCAGTTCTTTTATCCTGACACCTTCTATTTCCTGATTGCATCTTATCATTATGGCCATTATTTCAATTGTTAGAATAAAAAGATAAGGTGATATAGGGTCTCCCTGCTTTGTGCCTCTGTATATTTCAAATAGTCTGTAACTTTTCCGTTATTAACCACACATACTTGATTATCTTGAAGTAAAATTTTAACCCATTTAATAAAGCTTTCATGAAAACCGAATTTCTGTAACACTGCGAAAAGAAAATTTCTTTCTATAGAATCAAATGCCTTTTCGAAATCTGCCGCAAACAGCAGTGAATTTTCATTTTGATGTTTTAAGTGTTCCATTATATCTTTTATTGTTCGCAGTATTTCCTCGATGTTTCTACCTTTTATAAACGCCGCTTGTTCCGGACTGACTATATAAGGCAAACATTTTGCCATTCTATTGCTTAACACTCTACTACACACTTTGACATCAACATTAATAAGACTTATAGGACGCCAAGAGTCCAGTTTTCTATTGTCTTTTCCAGGTTTTTCAAGTAAAGTTATTATAATTTGTTTTTGTGTTGTCGACAGTGAGTCGTTAATGTAAGCTTCATTAAGAGAACTCACGAAATCTTCCTTTATTTCAGGCCACAAAGCTAAATATAATTCTTTTGTCAAGCCGTCATTGCCAGGGGTTTTAGACGAGCCCATTTGTTGAAGTGCTTCTAGACATTCCCTTTCTGTCATTAATTGTCCGCATTGTTCTTTATCCTGGTCATTGACCAGTGGAGTCACATATTGCGATAGAAAATCCGTACATTCGTTAATCGTTTTGTCCGATCTGCTCTTATAGGTCGATTGATAAAAACTTTTTATTTTCTTAAGTATGTCCGTAGAGTTAACTGTTTCTGTTCCGTCTTCATTTATTATTTTTCTAATGTGTGTTTTAGCTTTATTTCTCTTCTCTAAATTTAAAAAATATCTAGTACTTTTTTCACCTTGTTCGCACCAGGTTGCCTTAGATCTTATAATGATGCCTTCTGTAATATAMTCATTTTCCTCCTCTAACCTTCTTAACAATTCATCGTGTTCATTGAGCACCATATCGTCGTTCTCCCATCCTAATTTTTCCTCTATTTTTATAATTTCCGATTCCAACTGTTTGTGAGTTTCACGACGCTTCTTTGTAATTTGTTTTGAAAAATTAATAGAAAATTTTCTTATTTCATATTTGATAAGCTCCCATCTTAATTGAGGACATTTTATTTCTTCCTTATCCAGATTTGATTTAATTTTCTTAATTATTTCTTTTATTTCCGCGCAGTATACATCATTGTGTACGAAAGAATTGTTAAACTTCYAAAATGATGGACCTGCCTTCTCATTTTTGTATATGTTTAACTTCAGACTAATTGCGGATTGATCCGTAGAAGGAGCCGGGACAATATCGGTTTTCTCGACGTATGGTTGTAATTCATTAGAAACAAAGAAATAATCTAACCTACGATGTATGAATTTATTTTGTTGGCTTCGAATTCCTTGGCCTTTTCCGCGCCAGGTATATCGTTTTGAGTCTTGGTTCCGAATTCTCCATATGTCGCATAAATCATAATTCAAACTTAAAGTTTCCATTGATTCAATTGAACGTATCTTAAGAGTCGGATTTCCACCACTTGCCTCAAGATTTGGATCGAAAATAAAGTTGAAGTCGCCACCCCATATCATGTASGTATCTATGGGRTAGTCTATTTTGCTAATTATCTCTACGATTT